TAGTGTATTCACCGCCACAATCATTATATCAGGACGAACTCATCGAGCACTTAATAGCTTCATCTGATCTGCTTCGTACCAAGTACCCAGATATTGGCCTCATCATACTTGGAGATTTTAATCATCTCAGAGTCCAGGATATCTGCTTGGATAACAAACTTTGCCAGGTTGTCCAGAATAACACTAAAGGTGATGCGATTCTTGACATGAGTCCTGAGATTCTTGTGGAGTCCTAAAGCACAAGTAAGACCACCCCAGTCCATTAAGCGAGTAATACGACCTATGAGAGAGTCTAGTCTGAATGAGTTTCGTAGATGGATTACTACTCAATCATGGCAGGATGTAAATGAAGTAACATGTACTAATGAAAAAGCTAATGCCTTTTATAATACTATCTTGCCTGAAATTGACCGTCATTTTCCCATGAAGACAGTAAAAATGTATCCCTCATGGATCACTCCAAGGATTAAGCATTTAATCTGCCTGAGACAAAAAGCCTTCAAGACCGGGAAATCAAGTGCTCTATCAAAGTTCTACAGGAACAAAATCCAAAAGGAAATACGTGCGGCAAAAAAAAACTTCTATAAATCGAGAGTGGAAGCTAAAATAAAAGGGAGTCCAAGGGCTTTGGCATGGCAAAATTAAATCAATGTGCGGATCTGCGAAAAAGGCGGATCGAATTGAAGTTCCGGGAATTAATCCCCAAGATTATATGACAACTGCTAATGTGATCAACACAAAGTTAGTCAAGGTGTCCCAATCTCTCCCGACCCTTAAGTATGCAGATTTACTTTTACCTCCCATCTATACCTTTGCCTACTATCTCAGAATGGGAAGTGTATAGAATGTTGTCCTCTATTAACTGTCACAAATCTCCTGGCCCAGACATGATCCCTCCAAGAATACTGAAGGAGTTTGCATGTGAAATCAGCAATCCCATTTGTGACATCATTAATAGCTCCCTTGCAGAAGGTGTTGTTCCCACACAATGGAAAGAGGCTACTGTTGTACTCATACCAAAATCTTCCCCCCTGAATATTGAGGAACTGAGGCCGATTTCATTAACATCTCAGCTGTCAAAAATTTGTGAGAATTTTGTTGAGCAATGGATCGTGAACGATATCACACCAAACCTAGACCCTATGCAGTTTGGTAGTCGACAGAACCATTCCACAACACACAATCTGGTAAGCCTGATGGATTTTGTGTATAAGGCCTGCGAAGAACCAGGTTCAGTGTGCACATTAGTCACAACTGATTTTGCCAAGGCTTTTGATGCTGTAGACCATACAGTAGCAGTGAAGTGCCTCCTGGATCTTGCAGTGAGACCTAGCCTCATTCCATGGATTTGTAATTTTATGTCTAATCGTCGTCAAAGAGTGCGTTATCAGGGATATCTATCTGACTGGGAGTATCCTTCATGTGGAGTTGCCCAGGGAACCATATTGGGGCCCATAATCTTCCTAGCACTGATTAACAATGCTCTCCAGGATCAAATTGCCCACTGGAAATATGTGGATGACATGACCATGGCCCAGAGGTGGACTTCTCATCAGCCCTGTACTCTCCAGCAGACATTGAATGATCTTGGCATCTGGGTAGAGGAACATAAAATGAAACTCAACTCAAAAAAATGCAAGGTCTTACATGTTACCCGCATGAAACAGATACCAGCTTGGCCATCACTTTCTATAGATCAGAACATTTTGAAAATCTGTGACTGTTAAGGTTTCAGGGGTTACCATACAGAGTAATTTAAAATGGGATGTTCAAGTGGACCATATGTTGTCCTCAGCCAACAGAAAGCTTTTTGCTCTCCGCCGGCTAAAGAAATTTGGTGTTCGAGATCAAGAATTGGTTATCATCTATACAGGGTATGTGCGCCCTGTGTTAAAGTATGCAGTTTCAGTTTGGCACAGTTCATTGACTACTGATCAAATTAAAAGGTTGGAAAGTGTGCAGAAACGGGTCTTTAAAATCATACTGGGACAACGGTATCAAGGATATTCCAATGCCCTCTCCCTTCTTGGATTGTGCACACTAGCAGAGAGAAGAGTCCAACTGTGTCTTGATTGTGATAGGAGGCTATACAAGTCTAGTTTTAGAGACTGGCTACCACCACTCAGGGAGCAGTTGACTGGACGCCTGATGAGGAACCCCCAGATCCCCAGATGCATTCCACAACACACAATCTGGTAAGCCTGATGGATTTTGTGTATAAGGCCTGCGAAGAACCAGGTTCAGTGTGCACATTAGTCACAATTGATTTTGCCAAGGCTTTTGATGCTGTAGACCATACAGTAGCAGTGAAGTGCCTCCTGGATCTTGGAGTGAGACCTAGCCTCATTCCATGGATTTGTAATTTTATGTCTAATCGTCGTCAAAGAGTGCGTTATCAGGGATATCTATCTGACTGGGAGTATCCTTCATGTGGAGTTGCCCAGGGAACCATATTGGGGCCCATAATCTTCCTAGCACTGATTAACAATGCTCTCCAGGATCAAATTGCCCACTGGAAATATGTGGATGACATGACCATGGCCCAGAGGTGGACTTCACATCAGCCCTGTACTCTCCAACAGATGTTGAAGGATCTTGGCATCTGGGTAGAGGAACATAAAATGAAACTTAACTCAAAAAAATGCAAGGTCTTACATGTTACCCACATGAAACAGATATCAGCTTGGCCATCACTTTCTATAGATCAGAACATTTTGAAAATCTGTGACTGTTAAGGTTTCAGGGGTTACCATACAGAGTAATTTAAAATGGGATGTTCAAGTGGACCACATGTTGTCCTCAGCCAACAGAAAGCTTTTTGCTCTCCGCCGGCTAAAGAAATTTGGTGTTCGAGATCAAGAATTGGTTATCATCTATACAGGGTATGTGCGCCCTGTGTTAAAGTATGCAGTTTGACCAAACAATTTTGTTGGCCATTGTCTTTTACTGTATGGATAAAAAGAAATAATAAAAAAAAGACATTTGTCAAAATATTTTTAATGTTCCACAGAAGAATGTCATACAGGTTTGGAACAACATGAGAGTAAACGGACACAAGTTTCGTTTCTGGGTGAACTACCATTTAATCATTTTGCATAAAAGTGCTGAAACAATCTTAATAAATGAAAGAAAAAAAAAACCTTAGTTTTATTTTAAAAATCATCAGCATAACACAATGTCAAATAAATGCATCACATCCTACTTTTTAATAGGAGCAGATGGATAAATAAGTAACACTGAGGGAGATCTGGGGCCCGTTCTTCGTACGTCGCTAACTCAGTTAGCTGGATTTGATTGTTGATGATTTGGCATGATCTTGGATTGTTTGGTTCTTCGAAGCTCATCCCGGAGTTGCTTCGTCATAAAATTATTACTTCATAATTGTATTCGAGTCTTACATGCTATACAGATAATGTAGAGTCATGCATTAATTTGAGTGATGACAGCTATTATGTGAGTGGCTTGATGGAGCGCAGGAGATGCAGATAACATGATCTTGACCCTTAAGAAGCTTTAATCAAAATTTGTCAAGTTTTTCATCAGGTGTCTTTTTTGTTATATGATGTCGATACATAGCCCCTTTTAAACCAACCCATGAACGCGTAATTATCTCGGATAACTCAATCCAGCCATACTAATCATCAACAACAGCTGCGCTCGAAGAACCCAATTAGCCAGATCCTGATTAGCGCGATGATATCATCTTGGATGTGACATTTCATCTCGGATATAATAAGTGACGTACGAAGAACGGGCCCCTTGAGAACTTAAGGCATTGTACACAATCAACAGCTTAACCGTGAAAACCAAAGAAACAACAGGCATAAATGAGTTACTGATTAAAGGCTTTCCAGTGATAACTTTTAAACAATATATAGGTGAGCTAAACTGGAGTTACATTTGTCTGGTCACATCTTAATCTGGTGTTTTGTGAAACAAAATTGGGAACATATTTAAATGATCTGAATTTCTCAACAATAGCTTTTGTGATCAGATTCACCAAACTTAGCAAACAACCCAACATTGTATTATAACAAATCTTTATTGAACTAAATGTACAAAGAACAGAGGTCTCTAGGTCTGAAATAACAGCCTTAAATTGAGAGTAATTGGTGTCAAGTCTTCCAATCAGTTAAGATGTGGGTTTGACCTGCCATCGGTAATTCAGTTGTAGTGAACTGCTGAATTCTGTCCAAGTGCAATAGTGTAATAAAAACAATATTCAGAATAACAGTTGATGAACCTCTTCTATGACTTCTAAGCAGGGCCCACAATTAACACCAAGCGCCAAATTAGAATATTTATTAATTATTTAAAAAAAAACAATATTCCATTTTTTAAATGGACCTGATTGCATGGCTGAATAATAAAACTCACACTTTTATAAAGTAAATAAGGTCAGTTTGATTTCAAATGACAGATTGTCACTGTTAAGTCAATTCAACTGATGTGATCACAATTTGTGTTGGTACACATTCACAAGTATTCGCATTAGCTTTGGGAATAAACAATTAATGTTCATGTTTGTCCGTTAAATCGAAATGGAATCTGACTAATTTAAAAGCTTACTACCTAATGGTCATGCAACTGGAGGCTTATTATAATAAATATACATTCATAAATAGGCATGTCTATTTCTTTGGTCTGTTAAAAGGTGCACTCAGTAATTTTTTCCTCATTGAAAAAGTTCCTTCTTATTGAACATCTTCTCTTGTGTAATAAATTGTGGCTGACTGTGTATTGGGCATGTCTGCAATGGCATCAGTAACCAAAGCATAGCTTTTTGATGCAGCATCTCCACTGCTTGGTGTCATTATAAGTCTAAAACAATGACCATATTGTCCAGCACAAGAGAAACAAATCAATTACTGAGCACGCCTTTAATTAAATAAAGGTTTATACACTATTAGGTGCCATTCGAGAAATTCAGATGAAGTTTTGTAATAAAATACGTAATGGTTGCCTTATTTACAAAAATCTGTAGCAACATTTTTGCTTACGCCAATGGTTTATTGTTTACAGCATTTATATTATACAAGAAAGGCTAAACTATTTTCTTTCTGAATCCAATCTAATAAAATATTAATAAATGCAAAGAAAAGAAAACAGTACGGTAAATAATTCAGACATAATACAATATATTATAATGTGTCTCACACAGTTTGTAATCTCAATCTCAGCTGTGACTTTTGGCAATGCAATATCTGAGCATCTTTGGCAAACGGTGATGTCTCTGAACACCCACTAGGGGGAGGCAGATGTTTAAAACTGACTGTGGTAGCTGTTTGCTGTAGACGGCGGGGCGGCAGGGTCGATGTGTTTGAGGTGACACGCGTGACACAGCAGGCGTCCGTCCAGAGGATAGCAGCGGTGACCCTCCTCGTCATTCAGCTCCATATGACAGTCCTGCGGGAAGAGATTCACATCACACTAACTTCATTCTCCATTGTTAGATATGTGCAGATCTTTGTTAATAACACATGTTGAGGCATGCAGGCCTTAAGTAGAAGTGGTCAGGGGCGGACTTACCCATTAGGCAAAGGTAGGCGACTGCCTTGGGCCCCCAAAAGCCAAGGGCCCCCTAAAATGCTTTTCATATAGGATATGCGCATTAAGCGCTGACATGCGAACGGTTGCCGTTTGTGGTGTTTATTACCACGACAACCATCTGAGTCAGTGGCACCTGCAGGTGTACGGCACTGTGAGTACCATGAACGCTCAGACTGACCTCAGATTTGCTCTGCAAACATTTCAGCAGTTATCATAGGCCTGTGTGTGTCCCATATTTGTTGATATTGTGAGTGCACACAAATAAAACTAGACCCTTTACAGTTTAGAATGATTTATTACTCTTACCTTTATGAGCAAAAATATGACTGCTTATTAAGTTGTTTCCACTGTTAGAAAAAAATGCAAGTGATCGCGCTGGCGCCTCCGTGTGCTGCCGAGCGCGCTTTAGCTTCAACTCTCGGCACAAACGATTGGATATGCGTCTAACAGCACACATTTATCTAGGTTAAACACTTAAACTAACATTGTGATATGCTTGAACTGTTTTATATATATAGATTTTATTTTAGGCAAGTCGTGATGATTTGAGAAAGCTAAATTGATCAAACATATAGGTGAGTTTAAAACATGTGACACATTCGTTCTGCTCTCACTGATCATTTGAACAACATGAAAGAAATGAAAGAAATCCATTATAACATGTACATGAAAATGTAGAAACATTGGACACAACTATGGGGCACCATTGTGCAGCAGCAAGCATCATAACAAAAAAGGAACCTCAAGGCTGATCTAGGAAAATGTGTGAAAATGTATAGGGCCCCATTCCTATATTTTGCCTGGGGCCCCCAATTCACTAAATCCGCCCCTGGAAGTGGTGTTTTGTTTTTCAACAACAAAAGTTTCTTTACTTGCACTAACCATTGGGAATGACATTAAATTAGCACAGATGAGACTTCTATTACTGTTGTTGTCTCCCAAGTTGAACTCACCTCACAGTGATAACACTGCACGTGGTAGTCCTTGTCCATGGAAACCACTCGAATGGTTTCATCTGATCCCTATGAGAGTAAACAACCAGTGAGATGACAACAACACAACTTACCACAACACGCGCAATGATACAGCATGACCACTTCGAAAGCTGTCTCTACTCCAATAACCAAACAGAAACATGAACTGTCTACAATTGCTTAACGACTAATTAAAATGTTCTCAATTGTTGTGTTAATGTCAGCCTGGAGTTAAGAAGTTAAACATGACTGTGGGCAATGTATTATTACGTTGGTTTTATGCATCAAGGCACTCTGGTGAGTGGCACTAAATAGTAGTACTGTCAAACGATTAATCGCATCCAAAAAAAAGTTTTTGTTTACATAATATATGTCTGTACTGTGTATATTTATTATGCACATATAAATACACACACACATACAGTATATATTTTGAAAGTATTTACATACATATTTATATATTTATATTCTTATATTATATATAAATATATTTAATATATAAAGATAAAATTTTTCTTAAATACATAATATGCATGTGTTTGTATTTATATATACATAATAAATATACACAGTATACAAATATATTTAAAGAAAAACTTTTATTTTGGATGTGATTAATCGCGATTAATCGTTTGACAGCACTAATATAAATACACACACATACAGCATATATTTAGAAAATATTTACATGTATGTATAAACTTATATTCAAATAATTTATATATATGCATGTGTTTGTATTTATATATACATAATAAATATACACAGTATACAAATATATTTAAAGAAAAACTTTTATTTTGGATGTGATTAATCGCGATTAATCGTTTGACAGCACTAATATAAATACACACACATACAGCATATATTTAGAAAATATTTACATGTATGTATATACTTATATTCAAATAATTTATATCATATATAAATATATTTAATATATAAACGTAACACATTCTTCTTAAATATATACATGCATGGGTGTGTATTTATATATGCATAATAAATATACACAGTACACATACATATATTATGTAAACAATTTTTTTTATTTTGGATGCGATTAATCGTTTGACAGCACTACTAAATAGTTACAAGAATAATTCACCCTAAAATGAAAATATGTCGACAATATACTTGCCCTCTGGCCATCCAAGATTTGGAGAAACAGATTTTGAGACTTCACAAGTGATGTAATGCTAAATGTCTCCAAATCTGTTCAGATGAAGAACCTAATTCACGCTCAAAGTAAAATATCCAGTGACTGGTACTAAATAGCGTGTTCAGTTTTCTCCAAAACAAGTAAATGTGTTAAATGTGACCGTGGCAATGTATTATTACACTGGTAAATTGTACGTATTATGGTATATCATGCGCTATGGTAAAAGTGTTTTGAGGTCATGAATCATGCAAAATAAGTCTTCATTAATCAGTAACCTGCTCCTGTAATCATCATTTGTGTGAAAAGTAATAAAGGTTGTTGGCGTTTTACTGCCTCTAGTGTTCATTTCAGCTGGAAATTGCAATGATTTTAATTTGTAGGTACATTTTTGGAGTTTTGCGGGAATGTAGGCACATACGTCCAATGAGCCTGGGTTAGTTAATGTTTATTGTTGCTTTTAAAGGAATAATAGCTCAACCAGAAGTCTTTGTCACTATGAACTGTTGTTTTATGAACTGTTGTATTACTATTAACTGTTGTTTTTGCATGGAAAAAGTCATGTAATTTTTGGGTGAACTGCTTTTTTTAAATTTTTTTTATCTTTTCTGGGTATAGCGATGTTTCAGCTGTGAACAGTGTTAATGTTACACTCGGCTGTGATCAGAGAGGAGGAATTCCTGTAGAGTTTCTCATAAGAGCCTCCATGCAGGTGCATGATAACTGAGCTCTTGCTCTTGATGGTGTTGGAGAGCAGCATGCCTCGCGAGTCATCTCTAATTATAGATGGAGGGGCTTTAACAAATGACACATGCCCTAACTTAGCAGTAATCACTCCTTCATCACTGCTAACTGAATTACTCACAGTATCAGGCCTAAAGAAGGTTTAAATGTTCTGGAATGACTTAGATGTTCTGCATAGTTTAAGTATAGCAGTAAAGTTCTACCAAGTAGTAAAAATTCCCATGTTCATTTTGGTTAATTTGTCTCATAACAAGCAAAAATATGTAAGTCTAGATTGGCATTGGCAGTGCTGTGACACGTGGCTCTAATACAGAGAAAGTTGATTCTATGACACAGGCTGAGAATACGGCTCATGCCCCCGGCGGATTCAAACTTTAAGTGATTTCCTGGGGTTTTACTGATTACCTTTTACAGTCAAATGAGATTTGTTTCTGTATGAAGAGAGTTTATGGAGTACAGGCTGAATTGGTCCTGATATGCATCTTACCTCAGAGGGCAGGATCGGCTGATTACATGCTGCACATTTAGGGGCAAGAACTCTGAAGAAGAAAAGACAAGAAATAATCACACAGATCATCCACTAAATGGCAATTAAAATCATATCAGCATGACTCTTTATCCAGAGTACAAGACTGTAACATACTTAGTTGCATACAAATGAGTATTTGGGCATTTTAGCTAGCTATACTTAAAATGTCTGTCATAAAATATCAAAACTGGTGTCTTCACGCAAATGATGCTAGATCTTTTCTCAGAACTAATCATTTTTGCAATTAATTTTAACCAACAGGTGAATTGGTTATGGGGTTTTTACAACTAATTGAGAATCCTTTTAATGTTGCTGTTCTTAAAATCAACACTTATTTTCATACCGACAACACAACTGCAAGTGTGACATTGCATGTATACAACAGTTCAATAAGCAAGAAGTTAATGTTGAGTAACCTACATTTTTGAAAGAATACAATGTTGTGAAATTTTTGTACAAATCGGTTAAGTGAATAATTCAACGACTCTCTCATAAATAACTTATTTCTTTCTAAACTTATTTTTTTTAAAGGGGTCCTATTATGCTTTTTCACTTTTTCAACTTTAGTTAGTCTGTAATGTTGCTGTTTGAGCATAAAAAAGATCTGCAAAGTTACAAAGCTCAAAGTCCAAAAAAACTACAACGAACGACTCGTTTGGACTACAACGCATATTTTCCGGGATTTGTGATATCACAAATATCGACGAATGGGACGAGACCTGGTTGAGCTGCACTAGAGAAGGCAGCGAGGGTTATCACTATGTCGGAGACACGCTAGCTTTCACAAAGCAGACACACTTAAGAGTGGTTACAATCATCCGAATTTAAATCGCGCTCAAATTGATTTGATTTTGACGTAATATTTACACTGAAGCTGGCAGGTGGCTATGGTAAGGGGCATGACATTTCCTGACCAGGCGCCGAGTGCTGCCAATCACAACACACACTGGCCCAGCTAACCAATCACAGCACATTTCGTATTTCAGAAGGTGGGCCTTCATTTGATACAGAAACTATTTGAGCCGTTCACGCCAGACTGGGGAGAGAGGTGTTGTAATAATGTAATGTAAAATATGTGAAAAATAATGTGTTTTTCAAACAACCTAGTATGAGAGCCTGTTCTAGTACACCCCCAAAACAAAATCAAGACTTTGTAAAAGAGCATAATAGGACCCCTTTAATATTTTCCTTGCAAAGTGCTATTTTTCCATTTGATTTGATATTTTGTTATGACAATCATAAGTGTGCCCAAATACTTTTTTGGGCCACTGCATGACTTGGAGGTGAAAGATAGATTGAGAAGAGTGGAATAGAGCTACTGGACTAGACTGCAGGTCTGCTGGCTCTTCGATTAGCCCGTGAATAGCCCAATCCCAGAAGGACAGAGTGGAAAAGCATCGTTTGATTTCATCTCCATATGGTCACCACCTGACTGAATGTCTGGGGTTTTGGAACAACAGCAATCATCGCTCAGTTCACTGCTCACGGCAAAGGATGCATGAGAAGAATTTGCAGTGCAGCAAAGCACGCGCACACACATACACCCTCAAGACCAATAAAACTCACAATAAAATGTCATTACATCAAGCTACTGCTAGGAAAATGCCTGTGGAAGAAATTATGGAGAATAGTGCACAACAAAAAGCACACATCTACCATCAACTGAAGGAAATATATAGCTCACTTTATGCATCTGGAGTTTGCTTTGCCAGCCAAAAGTCACCATAAAATAAAAATTTACAATCTTTATTTTTTAATGGAATGCATTATTTATTATACCTGACTCATCTGTGCACATCAATGTTGATTAAACATTATGATTACATGAAACACAGCAATTAGCAAACAACAGTTAATTCACTTCCAATGGACAAAATCCAGCCCTACATATTTTTCTTGTTTGAGAAGTAGTTTCACTCGGATATACGTCACACTTTCCAATGCATGCAGACTTTAAAGGGATAGTTCACCCAAAAATGAAAAGTTGATGTTTATCTGCTTACCCCCAGGGCATCCAAGATGTAGGTGACTTTGTTTCTTCAGTAGAACACATTTGATGATTTCTAAGTCCAACCGTTGGAGTCCATCAGTCTTACAATGCATGACAATGGTAACAAAATCTATGAGAGTAAAAAAAACAATGCACAGACAAATCCAAATTAAACCCTACGGCTCGTGACGACACATTGATGTCCTAAGACAAGAAACGATCGGTTTGTGCGAGAAACCGAACAGTATTTATATCATATTTTACCTCTAATACACCACTATGTCCAACTGCCTTGAGCACGTGCACGGCATCCGGTGCGTGAGTGTGTACGCGCTCTGGCGTAGTTTACGCAAGCGCCGGAAGTGATCTCTCGCGCGGGCTGGATATCAACACACTGTGACGAGTCGGCTGCCTCCCCCTAATTATCAGCATCACTCCGTCCCTTAATCGTCGCCCTTCGCCAAGCTCACAACAGGAGTGGGTGCATGAGAGAGGAGGGGCGCTGAAATAGCCAGGGCTGGCGGCGTGTGATGGGGCACACCTG